CAACCCCATCCCACCTGAAGCTGATATAAAATCGGAGGAAATCTTATGAAGCTTATCAAGAGAGCCAGCTTGGTCTAGTGCGCAAGGCCCCAGGCTAGAATCCAGGAGACAGTGAGTTCTAGCCTTATTAGGCATGAAGGACAGCTGGGTGAGTTTGGGACAATCACCAGGAGACGGTGAGTTCCAGTCCTGCCTTAGCCATGAAAGCTGTAGGGTGACTTTGGGCTAATCACTAAGAGACGGGCTGTCAGTTATCAGCTGCCTTCGGAGTCAGACATCAGTGAGGCAGAAGAACAAATGGAGCCTGTTCCCAGTGTGCGCATGTGCAGAGTGACCAGACGAAGGGAACAGCTAAAGAACAGGGGTCGACTTGGGAGTAAAGCCACAGGGGGACCATGTGCAGCTCTGTCTGTCTTGTCATATCGAGCATGTATCTTTCCATGGTTCTTTGCGCCCCTCGTAACTTTTGTCTCTATTGTGAGGTTAGTGTCGATGTTTCACCAGCCTAGGTTGGAGATCATCATCATCATCATCATCTATTTTAAGAAGAAACTTGTCTGATCCCTAGGATGCTGGCAGCAACCTGTATCAACCATTAGCACCAGTCAATGGGATTTGTGACACATTTTTAAATGTTCACTTGTCTGATTTTCATGTTTAATGAATAAAAGAGATCAATTCCGCACTTTGAAGAGTTGGGATTAAAGCAATTTTTCTCTATAGTCCTAGTGACCTCTAGTGGATGAGGTTAGATTTACACCCTGCTGCTTTTCAGATGCGTATCACATTATTTTTCAACTTTTGCAACTTCCAAGATGTATGGACTTCAACTCCCAGAATTCCCCAGCCACCATCTCTAGACCTTAACGCCTAGAATCCCCCAGTCCACCCCAGCCAACTTCTGTTGCTAAGCAAGATGGTTATTAAGTAAGTCACATCCATTTTTACCGTTTTTTGTTTTGCCACAATTGTTATGCCAACCACTGCAGTTGTTAAGTGAATCACACAGTCAATAAGCAAGTCCCTCTTTTCCCATGGATTTTGCTTGTAGAAAGTCAACTGGGAAAGTCCCTGGGAAATTGCAAAGCTGATAAATACATTCCAGTTGCCAAGATCCTGAATTTTCTATCAAAGATTCTTTTATTACATTTTCATTTTCCTTTATACAATCACTTAAATACTGTGCAATTAAAAAAAAAAAAGAAACAATAAACAACTCATAACACTTCTATCCA